GGGTTGTAGGGGAGGGGTTGGGGGTTGTTCTTGTGGGGTTTTTTGGTTTGGTTTTTGTCTTTATACCTTTTTACTCCTCTAAGTTGTTTTTTTCTCATTTAGGAATCGACTACCTCGACCCTTCCTGGCAGAGCCAACCAGGGCTAAGTGGAATACGGGCAGAAAAGGGGAGAGATAGAGAGAATACACGAAGATAAAGACATTCTACCCACAAAAAGGAGATACTTGAAACAGTGGCATCCAAAAAAAACTTGAAGATGTAATCACACAAGTATCGTTTTATACCCTTGTACTGCCCGTTCATGCAGCATACCAGTTAAAGCTAAATGAATTCAACATCAATGACATATTAGTGTTTCATCTACGTATGGTCACTCAAAATTGAACTTTAAAAAATCAGGCTTGGCAAAATTGTGTGAAATAAAAGAAACGTAAAGTGTGTTCGCAGGATTGAGGTGCATCAACAATGGGGACGGGGCATGTATTGAACATCAAATGAAAAGAAAATATTATTGTATCTGTAATGAGCATCATCCTCTGGTGATATTTTCAAACAGATTGAAAAACAGAGCAGTCATAAATACAACGCATAACCTGAACTTAACTTTATTTGTGAACAATTGTGTATTTGTTTAGAAGCTATTGGCTTCGTGTAGTGCACGAAACCTTTTTTGCACATGACCTGTGTTAGATTTTGGACATAATCGTCTGTCAGTGAGGAGTAGAGGTCACGAAACTGTCATGGCTTTGGGTGGTCTGTGGTGGAATGAACAAAACCGTCCACGAGAGAATCATCGGATGGCTTCGTTTAGTCGACTGCTTCGTGCAAGTGATAGAGCGTCATGTCTGACCCTTATTTACGTCACGGTGTTGTTCAAGTAGACATCTTGCACAGCAAAACACTTCCTCACAGGGCCAGTGCCGCTAGACAATTCTTGGAAAGCCAAATGATATCAACTTTGGAGTGGTCGCCAGTAAATAGCTCCGATATCCCGATATGAAACCTACAGGTATATGAAGTCCCATGAAACGACAACTGAAGAATTAAATAATTGTTCTTATATTTTTGGTCACGGGGATTTTAGAGATGTCAGCATCAGACCACCTAAATTTCTTAAGGAGGAGATGTAATCGATAGTCACTACATGTGTTTACAAAATTATCTAGGAAAGTTGTTCACGAAGGAACAAGCCACACCAGAAGCTATTGTTAGCCAATGAACTGGCAATAGCAAATCTATGAGAACAAATTCCGTTTCCATGTCGAAGAATGTATTGTACTTCGAGATGTTTCACTCCTCTGTTTGAGGAAAAGGCTCTCTTAACAACAAAGTAATTGCTGTGCGTGGGAAGTCGTATTGATCGTCAGGATGATCAAATTATAACATCCATCCACTAGCAGTGATGTTTTAAAAAATTAGTCTATAGCATTTGATTGGTTACGAAATAGTCAATAGGACAGGGCATGTAGATCCTCGGACAGATTCTTTGATATTCACTTCTCTTTAAACCATTATTATTTCCTCAATTAGAAAACTTGCTGAAGAGTACTTGGCAATCGATAGAGGCGAAATGGGTGAGTGAAAGAAACCGATGTACGCAAAACAGGCTGCAACAACACTGAAATGTCTCCTACAAAGAGTTGGAGCAATAATTGATCCACAGAACGTCCATTTGACAAAAGAAACAAACGTCTAAATTGGCGTGAGTGGTGACATCTACAGCATTGCTCGTAGATTGCAAAGGACGCTATTTTAGAAAGTGGAACATTCAGAATGTGTCATTGTTTGGTCCCATGTACTAATAGAGCATAGGAGAAAACGAAAGTATTGTATGACCATTCCTCGCCAACGAAGGGGCCATCATAATAACATGTTTCTCCTGGTTATAGTTTTTTTTCTCCATTCGCTGGGGACAGTCTCAGACCATGATATCTCTTGCGGAAAGCAATCCTGACCTCGGGTCTATCCGATTGCCATGGCAGTTTGTTGAAAGCGCAAAAGGGGTCGCACGCATTTCCTTCTTGATGAACCCAAGTCTACACAATGTAGGTTTGAAAGAACTCAACAGTGCTTTAATTTACAGTTAAGATAAGGGTTACGGTTACGCAAGAGTTAGGGTTAGGGTTTGGGTGAGGGTTTGAGGATAAGAGTAATGGTTGGGATATTGGCGTCATAGGATTTTTAGATATCATTGGGTTTTCAAGCCTTATGCTCAAAATATTTGGAGTTAGTTCTTTAAGTACGCGATATCAGATACCAATTCTACCAGCATCTATTATTTTCGGTTCAGCTGTCGTAGTCAAAGATCAAAGAACTAAGATGAAAGTGATAGTCCCTCCGCAGTCGAACCCCACAATTCTGGGTACACACAGGTCACCGACAAAACATCATGGGCTGGCTTTGTTGGGAAAGGAAGGAGGGAGAGACTTCAGAGATGATGATGATGATGATGATGTTGATGGTGATGATGATGATGATGATGATGATGATGGTGATGATGATGATGATGATGATGATGATGATGATGATGATGATGATGATGATGATAATGATGATGATGATGATGATGATGACGATGATGATGATTGGGCAGTTTAATTGAAAAGTATTAAGTATAACACAATCATTGTTATCTATTGTTACTATTGTTGCTCTTGAAAAAGTGTATGAGGGAAAACGTTGAGCCTCTTGACAGACGTGTTTCTAAATCTATATAGAATTGTTTCTAAAATAGTTTAAACGAGTCAGGACTTTAGCACCTTACTGATGTTTGCCATGTGTAGATAGACTTGTATCATCTTTTCAGTTTCGTGGTGGTTTTAAAACAAAAGGTTTCATTTTTTAAAATTTAAGATTTGCACAGAAGGCGTTGTAGATTTGTTTTCAATCAGGTCTACTAATTTTCGGATTCTTCGGATCTGATAATACTAATACCCTAGTAAATCACGACGTAGGCATTTCTATTCCGAGTTCCAGTCTCTTGTCGTGAAAACTAGAAAAGTTGCACCCCACTCCACCACCACCCCCCCTCCGTTCAAAACCTTCCTTCCTGGCTTAGTAAGCGCAACTAGGATCTCCTCTATCCGCGTGGCAACATTTTGGATCTCAATGGGATGTCCAAATTTACTTTTAACCTCGTGTTCCCAGAGCCTATGTAAAATTTAGAGGCAGTATTCGATATGGTGAAGTTAAAATTTTTAATAGTGTACGTCTTTCTGATAAGGCTGGTTCGAAGTAAAGAGGATAATTAATGCTGTTGGCAGACAAGTGGGGGGGGTATACAACTGGACAAACAGACGTACAGGCAACTTACAGTGATGACAACGCTGGAGCTTGTTCTTTGTCCTTGAAGTGAGGAAGAAAATAGGTAGCTTATTGGGCATTATGCCATGTACGTATAAAGACAGATATCAGCTCCTTTACCCACTGTAAATCTATATTTAAAGAGTACTTGGGGGGGGGGGGGGTTATGGCACTTGTCACATTTTAGATTGTTTTGATCTACTGGTTGGTTTGTCCCCTTTTGTCCATCAAAACTACATGTACTTTTATCAGAAATAGCTGTAGTCACGTGCTTGCAACACTAGTTGAACTTGGATAAAACTTGGACACGGGAAGGAAAGGCTTTTGTCCTTGATTTTTTTTTTCGTATGACTAACGCTGCTTTCTCCCTGAGGTTGTCGTATACCTTCACCTATTTCTTCTATACCTATTCAGGTCATTGACAGAAGCTTTTTTCGAAAACGTGAAACAGTCTCTAGTCAAATGTTCGCTAATTGTCCATGTTTGTCCTTGTTGTAGTCCTTTCTTTCTTTGTCAAACAAAATTATGTCATTCACCAAAATCGAGGACCCGTTTTGTGTTGAATATGAGCAGGCCTCTGGGCTAACTCAAAGAGAGGAGTAGAAAACGCCCTGTGAGGGCCACTGGTTAAACCTTTATAAGGCCACATTGTCTGTGCAGGAGCCTGTGTTGTTTATTGAAGTGATCAATTTCCTCCTCCTCCTCCTCTATAGGTTTTTAACCTAACAACAGCAACAACAAACAATTGAAGCCAAGGTGTCCTTGCGCGAACACTGGGGACGGGGAAGGAGGGTGGGATAGAGAAACTGTCCACACGACATAAATCTTCACGGGCTGTCTCATTGCTGAGCAGGTGCAGGAGTCTGTGCGAAACGACACCTTTATGACGGCAGAACAAACACCCTGCAGTCCCTTAGTGTGGGGAGAAATATATACTTGAATCATAATATCCATGACCGTGCACTGTTATAGTTGCCACTCTTTATTCACTCTAAAAACGTCGCTGCAGAGCATGCAAATAATGGGCGCCCAAATCAAGAGTAAAACACCACTCTAGCTATAGTCGAGTGTGCGGCACATGACATCCCCCGCCCCCACCCCCCCCCCACGCCTCCCCCCCCCCCTTCATTTTGCTCAAAATTAAGTCAACTGGCGTGCTTTAAAGTGAACCAGAATTACGTTAGAGTGCATGATTTAAGATAATATTATAAAACAAGTCTATGAGGATATCTAGCTAGGAGGAGGGGTTGGAAAAAGGCCAGGAATGACTATCAATCGAAGGAAGATCATACTGCGCTTAGGACTTACTTTATAATTTTATTACAGTCTATACTCCATACTATTAGAAATACTAAGTTGTGTAGTTTAATCCTTGACCTTTGGAGCTTGCAACGGATTTTGGTTTCATGTTGTTTTTTTACGCCCACGTGGGTACAACTTTGATCATTTAGGAGGCAGGTTTTCACCCCTGCCTGTCTCTGCCAACCGAAACTGAGAGGGATACAACATTCGTGCAGAAAGACCGAGATACCTGATAAAAATTTCTCTTTACTCTGAATTGAACTTGGGTCTCCTGGGTACAGCAGCGAAGCGGCCAACAATACACAACACACGCCGGTTGCAACTAGTAGATGGAGAGTAACTATCGATTGAATTGAGAGCTTTTTTTAGGGGGGGGGTGGGGAGTTCTCCACTTGATTAACATAATAAATTGTTTAATCAATACAACCAAATTAAAATGGTTTACTACTATGTCAGAGTTCATAGTGGCTTTAATGTATAAGCTTTTTTTATCGGCTCTGATTATTAACCTTAGTTTTTACCAGAGTTTTAGCGTAAATTACGCCAGAATGACAGAGATACTCCATAAAATAGATCCCCCTACGTGGGAATCATATTCCGTGAGTTATGATGGTTGTAAATTATGTTTTAAACCCACATTGACACGTTTTAGGCACCCATCAGCGCCTCCACTCAGCATACTCATTAGGTTCTTGGCTACTGCTTACAAAAACAAGAATTCGATTCCCTCGTAGGGGGATCTATTTCATGGAGTATCTCTGTCTTTCTGGTGGGATGCTCAGTCCAGACTGATCTTGAGAGACAGGATAGGAGCAGCTAGCTTGATTAAATT